AGTAACCTTTATCCCTGTGATTCAGTGCATCCAAGTGAGCCCCGCGGACAAGACACCCCATACAGGCAGGAATAGGTAAATGAGAAGCGAGGGTTTGAATGGTGCCCACCAGAGAGACTCCAGGGGTCATTTTCATCCGAGGCCGGGGTGGGTGGGCTGCAGCATGGCTGGCAGAGCCCAACAACAAATAGTTCCTCCTCTGCCCTCCCAGCCTCCCCCGCAACGCTGTGCCTTAGGATCCCAGTAGGTGCTGGGTCTTTGCGCCAGGAATAACACTGGCAAGAAAGGTGACCCCACTTTAAGCAAAATCGCTTCGTGCAGAAAAACTTTACCCAACAGCGCCCTGTCCTACATTAACAGATTCCCCATCAGGCATCTTCAAATCTCAAAGTGTGAGAACCATAGTGGGGCTCAAGAGATTGACTCTACCAACTTCCCGATTTGACAGATGGAGGCCCCGAGGCCTGAGAGGAAGGCCACACAGCAGTGCCAGTCCCCAGCTGGGGTGAAAACCCAGGGCTCCTGACTTCAGTGGTTCTTTTCCTATGTTTGACCATCTTTGGTTACATCTGTGCAAGGATGCGTTTTCTTTCATACCTTCATTTTGGATTAGCTAGGCCATTCGTGTATGCAGCTGTAAAGGCAGGTTGCATTTTTGCAACTATAGGTTCAAATGAATTCTGCTATTGGAAAACCACACTTTATGTGGGCCATTTTCCCACCAGGGGGAAATTCATATCTGGCCTGGCAGTGGCAAAGACTCCTCCTCCTGGGGGACCTCTTCCTCGGTGTTTTATTCTCCTCTGTGAAGATGGGGCAGTGGGGAGAGCAGTAGTGAAGCCAGGGAGACAGGTGACCGAGGGATACGGCTCCAAGCCTGGCTTCCTCCCGCTGATCAGGTGACCTCAGGCAAGTCCCTTGATGCCCCATGTCTTCATCTGTAACATGGGAAGATAATGCTCACCCTGGGGGTTGTGAGGAGTAAATTAGATGAACTATTTGAAGCATCTGGCAAATAGTGGACATAAATGCCAATTCCCAGTTCAGAAGTCAGATTCAGGTGTCTACCTGTCTGGATGTGCTCCCCAGCTCTGCTACATACTAGCTTTATAGCCCTGTATCAGCTACTTAAACTCTCTTGGTCTCAGTTTCCTCATCTGTAGTATGAGGTTAATAATAGTACCTAACTTATAGAGATGTGGTTCCCAAAGGGATGTGGTTCCCAAACTGTGTGCCCAGGCACCCTAGAATGCTACAGGTGGTGCTGTGGGATATTTTTAATCTTCATGGAAACACAGCAATACTGGACAGCTGCCAGATACCACAACAACTACTAGCTCAAGATAGCTTACAATTTCAGCGTCACACACACTTCTTTCCTTCAGATGGCACCATACCCTTGCAAAGCTGGGAATTTGGCATTTGGGAGTACTCTGAGACAAACTGTGAAGGTAGCAATGTCCACTATGATTCCAAGACATCCCCATTATAAGTCATTGTGGCTATATAGGAATGGAATACAAATATTACCTTTCTTTCAATTTACGTGTATTATTTTTTCTAATGGATTCTAAGTTGTTAGGATATACACACACACACCCAGAAACACTTAAGCTGGTTGGATCTAACTACTTAATAAACAAAACCACTAGGAATTTCTTTTGGCCTTGGGGTTAAATTACTGGGTAAAAATTACCAAGACATTAAAGACCAAAAAAGTTTGGGAACCTCTGTCAAGGATTGCCGCAGGGCTCAGTGGGTTAATATAAAAAAACCCTCTGAAGGCCTCTGGCAGAGGGAGCACCCAGGAACCCCCAACTTCATGATTCTTCCTCCTCCAAGCTGGAGAGGGAAGGCTCAGGTATCCCCCCTCCAGGACACCTGAGGAGCCTTCCTCAGCCGCTAAGGCCCAAGCCAGGGCCAAGGAGGAGGGGACGTGTCCACTGGTCAGGACAGGGGCCCAACTCAGTCACTACCCAGGCCCTGGCAGCACCTCCCACACACCTTTAATTTGTGTTCACTGAGCACCTACTGTGTGCTGGCCAGCATGTAGTCCATGGTGGTCCCTGTGGGGAGGAATCTCAGGTCGGCTCTTGCTGCTGCTTCCTTGTTTCCTGCAGGACGTCTGGGGGATGGGGATGTGGGCAAGCGGGCAGTGGCTGCATAGAGAGCCACCCAGCACTGCCCTGAATGACGGAGAGGCAGTGATGAGGATGCCCAGCCATCCTCCTGCCAAGACCAGGGCTGAGTCTTCGTGCCAGGGCTGAGAGGAGGGGTGGGGTGGCAGGGTGGGGCACGGGGCCGCCAGACTTGGGCCTGCTGCCCTAATGGATGTCTAATGTTGACTTTCCTCAGTCGAGTCTCCACCTGCTTTGTAAATGAGCCACATTAGGGTTATGAAACAAAGTCATAAATGCAGCCCACAGTGCCACAGAGAGCCAAGGTGGCCGTCACCTGGAGGCTGTGTGGTTAGAAGGTAGGGCAAGCCTGCAGCTGCATCCGTGGGTTCCCATATACCTGCTCTCATGGCCACCATCCCCAGAGGGGGTCCAGTCCCCCCATTTCACAGATGAGGTGCCTGAGGCCAGTCAGGACTGGTTCAGACCCTGGGGTGTCTGAGTCTGAAGCCTGAGCCCTGCCCTACACTCCTCAGGCCTGAGACTGAAGCAGGGGTGCTGGTGGCGGGAGGTGGGCCTGGAGTCCCCTTGGCTGCACCCTGCTCTCCCTAGAACTGCCCGCCTGGTGGGAGGGCCACAGTGAGCAGCTCTCAGGCCACTGGGAGACCCATATCCAGCTCCCTGGGCACTGTGTCATCTCGCCATCAACTGCCCACATTCCCAGACCCTGGGGGCTGCCAGTTTACCTACAGAGAAGGTGTCTCCTTGTCTGGCAGAGGAAAGCAGGTGTTTGGGAGCCCTGGCCTGGCCTTGGGAATCCTCGGTGCTGTTCTTAGCTTACATGCCCACTAACCAGGTGGCCTTGCATCCGTTTGATGGGCTTCAATTTCCCCAGCTTTGAAACACGATAAACAGTCCCGGCCTTGCTGGCCCTTTGATGAGAGAGCCCCCATAATTGCAGAGACCCGGCCAGTGTCAGGGTCTATTAGGAACCTCAGGTATGGGGACACCCACAGTGTTATGGAGCTGCTCCAAAAATAAGCAGTGTGGAGCCCTGGGCAACACTGAAGTCTGGTTTCTTGGGTTCAAACCTTGGTTCTGTCTCTTGCCAGCTGTGTGACCTTGGGCAAGTTGCTTAACTGCTCTGAGCCTCAGCTTCCCCATCAGTAAACTGGGGGCCAATATAATATACCTTACAAAGTTGTTGCAAGAATTAGGTAAGTTAACTACGTAAATGGAAACATAGCAGTTAATTCCAGGGAAGCATTAGTTGCTATTTTGATGCAGCAATTTGTACCTAGGCTTCTCCTAGGCACTCATGCATGTTTATCTCACATGATCCTCAAAAGATCCCAGAGAGAGGAAGAGTGCTCACTTCCCTTCCCTCTTCAGAGACAAAGTAACGAGGTCGGAGTTAAGGGCTCTCCATGGGTCACAGGGAACATGCTGGATTCATCCTCTTTCTTGCTGGCTTCCCCTTCGGTCCCCCAGGTCACGCACACATACCCCACCCACAGCCCAGAGCTTGGAGCCAGTGACAACCCATGCATTTTCTCAGAGCCTCCGTCTTAGCAGAAGCTGTGATCCACAAGGAGATGACACTGATAAAGCATGTTAGGCACGTTTTGTTCATTCTGCTCTTGAAGAACCATGTGTCCCTTTGGCCCCTCTGCCCAAAGGGGGGCTCCCGAGGGCAGAGCATGTCTCACCCGTGGCCTCCTGGGGCCCCAGCTCCACTTGCTGGACTGGAGCTCTGGGACAGTGACAGGACTGCGCAGGCTGGTGAGGGGCTGGGCAGACACATGCACCCCTGCAGCTTAATTCGTTATTTCCTCGGGAGCAGTTAGCAGAGGAGGACAAGCCCCCTGCCGCTTGTCCCCAGCCACCTGATTGTTTGGGGCTTGGCATTGGAAAGTCAATTTTCCTACGTGGATTGTAAACCAGTAGCCTGGCCCAGCCTGGTTTCCCTCCCTCCCCACACTGGTGGTGGCCAGGCCCCTCTCCCTTCCTGTTTGTCTCACCTCCCGAGGTGCCGTTCTTTCCAGGGAGCCGGCCGGTTTCCATCTGGCCCCTTTGCGGGAGGAGATGGCCTCCTGCACAGCCTCACTGCCTTCCCAGCCTCCCGAGTGCCCTCATCCATAGGGCCGAGGGTGTGGATTTGGCTAAGTGGGAAAGGCTAAGGGGGTGGATCAGAGCCACAGACCAGAGGAAGGGAGGGTCTGGGGGGAGGCTACAGGGAAGGTGGTCTCCCCTGCATGCTGCTGCCTGCCATGGGCTTCCTGGAGGAGGCGGCACTCTGGGAACAAGAACCAGGGAGCCCAGGCCTGGTGCTGCCACCCCACCTCAGCCCACCCTCGCCCCTGTGGGCCCTGACTTGTCTCCCTGCTTCCATCAGCCTGGCTGGCTGGGGCTGCACAGGGCAACTGTGGCTTTGGGGCAGAGCTGGCCTGGTTTGAGCTCCAGCCTCAGGCCCATTTCCAGCTCTTCACATACTGTGGCATCGCCGTGGGAAACTGGAGGGAGGCCGGGGAGGGCCGGTGGGGAGGGCTGGAGAGGGGTGTCCTTGCCCTGACGGGTCACCTCACCTCCCTGGGCCACCCTGACTCCTCCATCTGTAAAAAAGTAGAATCACACAGCATCACAGGGCTGGGACTGGCTCCAAAACACAGCCTCTTAAAAGCAGGTCACAGTGGGGAAACCGAGGCCACAGGAGTGTCAGACCTCGCCCAGGCCACAGAGGGCGTCCCAGCGGGTCTCCTCCAGCTGCCTACCCCTCCTCCTCCCCTGGCCTCCTCTCTCTGCCACGGCCCCCAGGGGATGGAGGGGACCCGGGCCTCCCAGCCTGTGGCCTCACGGAGCCCTCCCACCCTCCACCCTCCGCAGGCACTGATTCTGGCAGCGAGGTGCTCCCAGACTCCTTCCCGTCGGCGCCGGCAGAGCCGCTGCCCCACTTCCTGCGGGAGCCGCAGGACGCCTACATCGTGAAGAACAAGCCGGTGGAGCTGCGCTGCCGTGCCCTCCCCGCCACGCAGATCTACTTCAAGTGCAATGGCGAGTGGGTCAGCCAGAACGACCACGTCACGCAGGAGAGCCTGGACGAGGCCACCGGTGAGCCCACCCCACTCGCCGGGCACCCCCAGGTCACCCCAGGCCCAGAGGGTCCTGGGCCTGGCTCCACCCTGGCTCCATGTGAGACCTCATAGAGCCACGGCGCCCCCGGGCCTCCGTGTCCCCTCTGAGGTTCACCCTGGACCAGTATTTCCCCAAGGCTTGGCCGCTTGCCCTGTCTGACTGGGTGACCAGGTGAAACAGCACCAAATCCCTTGCTGAGAGCTAGCTCCCTTTTCCAGTTACCTTCCGTCCTCTGCTTACATCAGAGAGCAGGTGCAGTCAGGGACTAGGGTTCTTGCCCGCTCCCGCAGCACCTGCTGTGCTCCCTGTTTAAGGAAGAGGAGCCGGCTCTGTCTTGCAGCCCTGCCCCCAACACCCAACCAGAATTCTAGACCATTGCTAGTTTCACAGGTTCTCTGTGTTGGTGAGAAGTGATAACTGTTTTTGTTCACAGTAATGATGCAACGCTTCCTTCAAAGAAATCAGTTGGCTTCGGTTTTTTAAAAAAGGCCTGTGATATTAAGTAAATAATCATAGAGCTGGTGCTAGGATGCAGCCCAAGTCCTGCAGGACAGGAGAGTGGCAGAAGCGTGGGAAACTAGGAGGAAGCGTGGGATGTGTGCAGGTCCCTGGGCACCCCCCACCCGAGGCAGGAGGCAGAGCCTGGGGCTCCTCACATCTCCCAGAGCCCAGCCCCTGTTTACAGTACAGGAGCTTCGGGGGTGGAAATCCTTCCCCCGACTCAGGCCAGGGAGGGGGGCCACCCACTGCGGGTCACCTGCGGACGGCCAGCTTTGGGCAGCCCCAACCAACCCCAGGCTCGGGGTGGCTCCTTTGCCCCAGGGCCTGCCTTGGCTTTGATTTCATTTTTACCATCTCTTCCCTGACCTTTTCTTTTTCCTCCTTTTTCAGCCCTCTCTTCTTTCCTCTGTCTCTCCTGCTTCTCCCTTCTCATCCTCGTCTCCTTTTGTGTCTCCTTTTGTGTCCGTCTTTTTTCCCTTATGTCTCTCTCTTTCTCTGCCCCAGTCTCATTCTTGTGTCTCTCCCCGACATACTCTCTTTCACTCTCTCTCCTTCTCTCTTCCTCCTTCAACTTCTATTTTTCTGTGAAAAGCGGACAGATTTCAGAACCACTCAGGCTTAAAATCATACCCCAGAATGTACTTAATGTCATTCAACACTGTACCCTAAAAATTGGTTAAAATGGTAAGTTGTAGGTTATGTATATTTTACCAAAAATTTTAAAGAATTCCAAGAATTTTAAAAGTTAGAGTTGGGGTCTCATTCTCGCTCAAAATCTAAAAATAAAAAAAAAGATTAAAAAAAATTTATTTATTTATTTTTGGCTGCATCGGGTCTTGGATGCAGTGTGCGGGCCCTTCGTTGCCGTGCGTGGGCTTCTCTCTGGTTGTGGTGCACGGGCTTAGTTGCCCCGTGACATGTGGGATCTCAGTTCCCTGACCAGGGATCAAACCTGCGTCCCCTGCATTGCAAGACAGATTCTTAACCACTGGACCACCAGGGAAGTCCCAAGAAAAGGATTTTTTATCTGATTTTTTCTTTCTTTTTTTTGGCCACGCCGCACGGCTTGTGCGATCTTAGTTCCCCAACGAGGGATTGAACCTGCGCCCTCGGCAGTGAAAGCATGGAGCCCTAACCACTGGACCACCAGGGAATTCTCCAAAAAAGAAACTTTTAAAAGGAAAAAAACCCCATATCCCAGCTGCCCCCATGCTCTGGCTGTGTGACCCTGAGGAAGTCACTCAACCTCTCTGAGCCCCAGTTTCTCTCTTTGTAAACTGGGATATTAACAGGTCTTGGTGAGGATGGAGCAAGGTGGTACCTGTACAGCATTGAGCAGAGTGCCAGGACCCAGCAGGTGCTCAATAAACACCTGTTTCCTCCCCATCTTCTTTCTGGGTTTTTGTTGGCTTCTTTCCTCTTGAAACCTATTCTTACTTCTCTGTCCCCCTGAGCCCCTCTGGCCCTGCAGAGCAAGGGGACAGTGTATCCTGCTAGGGCCCCTCACAGACCCTGTGATTATTAGTAACAGGGTGGCTCTTACTCCCCTGCTACCAGGCACACAAGTCCTGCCAGCCCTAGAAATCAAGACACTTGTTGTCCCCATTAGCTACAAAGAATGGACAGTGGTCCAGCAGGCCACACCCTTGGCAGCAGTGTGGCTGGTTCCTCCTTCTCCCCACCCCTAGCCCTCCCTGGCACTCTCTGAAGCCTTGAAAACAGGCTGGGGGCCAAAACAGGTGGGATGAGCCTACCCACTAGCTCATGCCAGGTCAAGGCAGGCAGCCCAACTCTGGGTGTCCTGGTCCAGGCACTGCCTGCCACTGGCCATCATGCTGAGGGGGACACCTAGTCTGGGGCCCAAGTCTGGGGGACCAAAGGTCCCTGTCCTCCTCTTTGCCTGCTGGTGACAATTGCCACAGTGTCAAGCCCTGCTGGGTGGTAGTTTATCTGTCCAGCTGTTGGGTGCTCCTGAAACATTCTGGATGGATGACCCCCTTGAGAGGGGCCACTCCTCCAGGCTCCCAGCCTGGTGAATAAAGGCCAGGGCCCCACTCTCCTGCCCTGGGCCACGCAGCATCACTTGTAGAGCAAGCAGTCCAGGCAGCCACTGGCAGCAGGCAGGGCCCCTGTCCCCCAAGAAGCCTCTTCCCTCCTGGTGTTCCACCCACAGCAAACACCAGCCCCCTCCAATTTAGATGCCTGGCCATTAGGAGGGGTTCCTCACTCTCTGGGCTCCCAGTGCAAGGGCCCCCCTCCCTCAGGACGCAGGAGAGTTAAGGCAATGATTTCACTGGGAGAGGTCCAGAGAGAGGTCATTCATTACTGGGCAGGATGCCACATAGCTGATCTCAGCTCTGCTGGCAACTTGCTCTGGGACTTTGGGCCTGCCACCTACCCTCTCCAAGCCTCAGTTTCTCCAGATGAAAAAGGAAGGGGCTGGATGAGATCCAGATGAGCTGCCAGATTAGATTTGTGTCCAGCCTGGGCTGGGTGCTGTAACTGCCATGATTCATTTAGAATTTACCCTGAGTGTTTTACTCTGATGAGGGAACCGAGGCTCAAAGAGGCTACGTAACTTAGCAAAGGTCACACAGTTGGGGAGTGAAGGTAGGGCCAGGATTCAAACCTGTCAAGAAGCAGTCCAGCCCTCCACCTAACCACCATGCCACAGGACTACAATGTGTACACTCAACAGTCCCGCCTTTGAGGGGCTTATCAGAAGCCACAAGCAACCATGAGAGGATGAGCTCAGATACATGACGGTGAGGAGGAATAGCTTTAGGAATTCCGAGACCAAGGGGGTAGTCGGGGAGGGCTTCCTGGTGGAGGATGCCTTACAGTTCTCCCACAAGCTTTGGGGAGGAGCTTCGGATGGGTGCCCCCATCCAGGAGGGTTCATCCCTTTCCTGAACGTAGAGGGTTTTGTCAAGGGAGGATTGGCAAAGAGCGAGTGATTCATTCTCTGTGGGCTGGTGGATCCAGTCATTCAGGGAGGCCGTTGGGCCCTAGCAGGGAGTCGTTGAGAGGTTAGGTGTTCCCAGGAAGAGGGGCCTTCCCTCAACTCCAGCCCCACAGGCTCCTGAGCCATGACCAGAGAGAGGCCACATGCTTGCCTCATATTTTTTGAGCCCATTGTCTGTGCCAGGCCCTGGGCCACAGCAGTGAACAGGGCAAAGCCCCACCTCATTCTCCTGCAGGAGATACAGTTAACACATGAACACGTCAATAAATAATACAGTTCCAGGTAATGGTCAGTGCCATGAGGGAATCAGGCCTGGTGGGAAATGATAACTGCACAGACCAATGTCCAGTGCAGTGGTGGAAGTGCTGAGCGGTACTTTGACAGCTGGTGGGGGTGGGCCAGCATCAGGGGGCTTCCCTCCGAAGTGAGGCCCAACCCAAAGCTGACGGTGTCTGGGAGTTCACTGGACACAGAAAGGACAGAAGAGAGCTCCAGGCAGGGGGCTGGATGTGCAAAGGCCCTGTGGCTAGAGAGACCAGGAAAACATGAGGGCCTGGAAGACACCCGGTGAGGCTGCAGTGGGTAGATCGTGCAGGGCCTGGAGGCCACGTGGGAGGTCTGGGTCTTTACACTGGGATGACTGTAGACATAGCAGGGGAATGACATGCCATTTGTGCCTTTTGAAGAGCTATCTTCAGGGTGGAAAGTCGATTGGATGGGGGCAGCGGGCTTGGGTTAGCCACTGAGTTTCCAGGTGAGCTGCAGTGGTGGCTTGGGCCAGGCTCGAGGCAGATGAGATGAGAAAAATGGAAATGTGAGGCACTTGGGAGAGGAGCCCACAGGACTCAGCGGGTTGGAAAGGAGAGAGATATGGTCCCATGTCTGGTGTCTTCTGTCCTCAGACCTGCCCCCTGATGGCATCTCCCTTTTCCTCCCAGGCCTGCAGGTGCGAGAGGTGCAGATTGAGGTGTCGCGGCAGCAGGTGGAGGAGCTGTTTGGGCTGGAGGATTACTGGTGCCAGTGCGTGGCCTGGAGCTCTGCGGGCACCACCAAGAGTCGCCGGGCCTACGTCCGCATTGCATGTACGCCACCCTGACACCCTCACCCCATTCTCCTGGGCCCTTTCCCCTTCCCTGTGGATCCTGGAGAGAGAATTTCACACACAGACATCAGGGCACAGGGATGCCAGCTCAGAAGGCTCCATGACCCAGAACCTGTGCCACCTTTGGCCCCAGGATTTCTAACGGCCCCTTTTTGCCTACTTTTATATAAGGAAGCTGCCAGCTTCCTCACCATCCCCGGCCACCATGTGCATAGGATCCCAGAGTCAGGGAGGGAAGCTTGTTCCCCCGAGTCCACCTGGTGAGGCCCCCATCTTGGAGAAGTTCTCCAGGGAAAGGCCAGGTGTCCCCGTGAACATTCCCTTTGTGTGCACTGCCACCTAGTGGCTAGAATGGGGCGCTTCAGGATCCAGCTCTGCCTGACTGGCCTCCTCCCTGCACTGCCTGACTGTGCCTTGGAACACGTCTCCTTCCTTCTCCCAGACCTGCGCAAGAACTTCGATCAGGAGCCTCTGGGCAAGGAAGTGCCCCTGGACCACGAAGTTCTCCTGCAATGCCGCCCACCAGAGGGGGTGCCTGTGGCCCAGGTGAGTGGGGATATGGGGGACTTTGGGCATGGCAGAGGCCAGCCAGGCATGGTATCTACCACCAGCCACAATGCCTCAGCCTTCCAGAGCCCTCGCATTTCACAGATGGGGATATCAAGGCTAGAGACAGAGAAGGGAACTGCAGTCTCTGTAGAACTCGGCGCATGCCAGACCCCAGCTGGGCCCTCCATAGGCATAACCCCACAGGATGGGGCAGAGCTGGGGCAGGAACCCCCAGGGCTCCTTGGGTTGACCCCAGGCTCAGTCTCCTGCAAGAGAAGTGGCCATATACACCATTTTCCCCCACCCCACCCAGAACCCAAGGCCCCAGCTTTATGTGTATCATAATACGTGCATCTGAGCACAAACTCAGCCCACAAGCTGATCACCCCTTCCTGCACCACATGGCCTGTGCATCCCTGGGTGATGCCCACCTGTCCTCTTACTGCCCTGCTTGTGTTCCAGACCTGCTTCCTCTCTCCCGCTGCCCGCACTGGTGGTTCTCTAGTCAGAGCAGGGCACGGGGAAACATCTCAGCCTTGTTGCCAGGGACCTCAGTAGAACAGGATTGGGGAAGATGGAACCCTGGGCTTCCAGCTCAGAACCTTTGCTCTAATCACTTAGCTTCCCCCCAGCCCTGGTCCCCATCTGGAAATGAGCTCAGACAGACACCTTCTGTAATAGCTACCCCTCGTGGCTGCCACATGTGTCTGGCACTCGGCACACTGGTCCTCATAGCAACCCTTCAAGGTGGACATTGTCATCCCATTTTATGGCTGGGAACACAGCACTGGAACAGGTGAAGTGGTCACCCGGGGTGACCCAGCTAGTGAGTGGCAGAGCTGGCATTTGCACAGCCAGGTCTGCCAGACCAGGAACCATGTTTTTAATCACCTGCCAGGCCTCTCACCCTGGCTAAGGGAGTCGGTTTGTGGAGTTAATGATGAAGACATGTTCTTATTTCGTACCAGTACTTACTGTGAGCCAGGCATGGCCTCCACACTTTGCATATACTGATTCATTTCATCGTCACAGTAGTCCTATGGGTAGTGCTATTAAATATCATCTTACAGTTGATGAAATTGAGGCCAAGTGGAAGTCCCTTCCCAAGGCCACTCAGCTGGTGGGTGGTCATCTTAACCACTGTGTTCTGTAGTGTCCAGCACGGTGCCTGGCCCGTGGAGGCCCTGCCCCCTGTGTCACCACCATGGGTGGACATGACTAGAACTTCATTCCTGTTTATGGTCAGGCCTCCCTTCCCCCCAAGAGAGGGCCCACTCCCAGGGGTGCAGGGGATCGGGCCCTGGGCCCTCACAGCTGCAACCGTGCCCCTGCAGGTGGAATGGCTCAAGAACGAGGATGTCATCGACCCCACCCAGGACACCAACTTCCTGCTCACCATCGACCACAACCTCATCATCCGCCAGGCTCGCCTGTCAGATACGGCCAACTACACCTGCGTGGCCAAGAACATCGTGGCCAAGCGCCGCAGCACTACCGCCACCATCATTGTCTACGGTGCGGCCCAGAGTGGGCTGGGTGGGGGTGGGGGGGAGGACACAGCCGAGGGAGGGGGAGAGCCTGGGGCTATACGGCTGACCCTTCCCTACCCGGAAGCCAGCAGGACCTTGGTGAACAGGTGGGGAGGAAGAGGAGGCCCAGAGAGGGGAGGTGCCTTCGCAAGGTCACACAGCAAAGCCAGTGGTGAAGTCAGGGACTCCTGGGTCCCCAGCCAGGAGCACTTGCCCCTTCTCAGGCCCTTTGCTTATCCCTGAAGGGGAAAACCCAGTTCTCTGAGAGTCAGGGCTAAGGCAGGGCCCAGTCGGTATCCCCATCCCCAAGCCTGTTGTTCTAGCAGTTAGGGACCACTGCTCAGGCCCGTCAGCTCTTCCTTGCTGTCCCCTTGGGTGAGAGGGCCAGAGCCATGGCTGAAATGAGTGTCGTAGAAAGAGCCCTGTACTGGGTTCCAGTTCCAAGCTCCCCATTACTCACGGGGACACCTTGTGTAAGTGTCAGCCCTCTCTGGACCTTTGTTTGCCATTGTACAATGGGGTGGGGAATAGACAGTGACCTCCTGGGTTGCCTCTGGTGCTGACAGATGCAGCCCGGGTCTGCCCACTGGTATCTGAGTCCCCAGCCCTGGAGGCAGGAGGGGTCCAACTAGGAAGGGCCAGGCCTCAGCAGAGGTGCCTCATGATGGCTGGAGGATGGGGCTTGGGGGGCCCACGGGGCGAAGAGCCAGGCCAACCTGCTGACATCTGCTACCCCTGCAGTGAACGGCGGCTGGTCCAGCTGGGCCGAGTGGTCACCCTGCTCCAACCGCTGTGGCCGCGGCTGGCAGAAGCGCACACGGACCTGCACCAACCCCGCCCCACTCAATGGAGGCGCCTTCTGTGAGGGCCAGGCCTTCCAGAAGACTGCCTGCACCACCGTGTGCCCAGGTGAGACCACCAGCCAGGTGGCAGTCCACCCATGCCCAGCCCCATGCCAGCCCCAGCCCTGCCTTCTGTGCTCTGGTGTCTGCCAGTCAGAACAGCCGATCTCTCCCCGTCGGGGTAGGGTGGGGGCAGAAGGTGCTTGTCCCGGGCCCCCCAGCTGGCTCACCAGGCTGGACTGGATGCTATGCCCGCTGACTTCCTGTTCTGCCCTGGGCTGCGGGAGAGACAGAGGCAGAGGCTCTGAGCTGCGGTCTGAGGGGTGGGCGGTCTGCTCTCCAGGCCGAGGGTTCTCAGCGTCAGCCCCCAGGCCGGGGCCCCAGAGGCTCCTGGGGTCAGAGAGCCTGTGCTCCTGCCCTTGACTGCTAGACACACCTGGCCACTGACCCTATCTTGCTGCAGTCCTCTCTTTCTTCTGTGTTACTCTGTGGCCCCATCGGTTGGTCTGTGTTCTCTCTTTGGTGACATGTTTGTGTGACTGATGTGGTGTTTTTCACGCTGGGTTTGTGCCTCTGTGTGTACACTTGTTCCCTGGGCTGTATCTGCGTCAGTGACCTTATGTGTCTGTTTGGGCTGTCTTCACCCACCCGGTGCTCCCGTCTCTGCACTGGCATGAGGCGTGGATTTCTCTGGATGGCATGCGTGTG